TGGAAAAACGCTTGGCAATTCACTACCTCAAACATGGGATTAAAAAAAAAAAATCAGTAGACTTGGATCTTGTTCAAAATCAGAAGGACTCCTGCTTTGATCTCTCAAAGCTCATGGAGGATCATCTTATATTAATTGACAAAGAGGAAAACGAAGAACATTTTCACTAGAACTATTGTTATTTAGACTACTGCCCCCTGTTGGTGTGGAGTGTTTACACAACAAAGTGTGCAGGAGGTACGCCTGTTGGCTGTCATTTTTGTGGTGCGTTCCGGTCCAACTTTCTGGATCGCTGAGGACCGAAATGAGCTGAGGGTAGGAAATAAAAATAGAAGGCACTGGAAACGAAGACACTGGCACTCCGGCAGATAAGTGGCTCGCAAATAACACGTGCGCACCTAACTATCACTCTCCGTGTTGTATTTTGTGGTCTTCTGTGTTGTTGTTTGCTTCTTATAGCCTTAAATTGCAGGGCGGCATTTTTTTTTTCAGCCCCCCTGCGTTGGACCGGCTTGCTCGCTTGTTTGGGTCATCATCTTCCCTGATCCTTCTTTTATTTGATAGTGCCGTTCAGTGGGCGTCTGGCAGCGACATAATAAGAGAGAACACGAGACTGTTGTGATGCTTGAAAAACCACACGGGCCCTAAAGGGAGCGGAAAAGCGGCCTGTCAGGGTAACAACAACGCGCATCGATTGCACTTGCGCCCTTGTTACAGGAGCCGATCGGAAAAAGAACCGAGCGTCGTTTTCTGTAGGAACTCATTTCCGGGCTGTTATCAATTGGGAGGACTTTTGTTTTTGCTGAATGGGAGCGCTAACCACCACCAGTGAGGCTACTTTGCGGCACTTTTTCGTTGATTTTTATAATTGTGTATTTCAAAAACTAAGCTTCATTTTTTGCTGTTTTTGTGCTCAGGTTAAATGTTTTAGTATCATCTGGCGGCATCATGACGGCAAGGATGTGCCTTGTAGGTGATTAGAGAATTTACATCAAGACATACAGTAAGTAGTGCAGTGCTGCCACCTTGTGGCATCTACAGGCAGTTACAATCCCTTTTGCGAAGGTGTCAGTTCGTCGCAGATTTTCAGTATTTGCGGCAGCACAAAGTTTTTATCCTCTGCGAAGAGCGGAAGCTGTGTTGAATTGACTCCATTACTTGCATCAAGTGGTTGTACAGGATAAAATTAATGGGATCCAGATATATTTTTTAAAGGAGACTTTGGCACCCTCTCGTGGCATTTTAGGGCCCTTCGGAAAGAGCACAAAAATTCAGAATTCCATTAAAAAAAAAGACACTAAGTATGACGAGTTGAATTTGTGAAAAGTGACCGGCAAATAAGCGGGGGATTACGGCACAATAAAAGCTGAACCTGAAACGGTCGGACATTTTGTGTGTTGTTGGGGTTTACATTCAGACACACAGTGATGAGGGATGCTGGCTCAGCGCATAAGCCGCAGCGCCTCTCTGTATGCTCAGCACTTTTTGGACATCCTGCATATCTGGCCAATCACAAAGCCACTTCTTCCACATTGGCACACGGGCACAATCACAAGAAGAGATTCATTAATTGATTATAAATTCAGAAAAACAGGATACTTAAGTATTTTGTTCCGTATCAATTTAACATGGTTCTGATGAAATAAAGCTCCTGCGTGGACACATCCGGCCATTAGGTGGCCACCTTGTTGCCTGCGCCCCCTTCGGCCAGCACATCGAATGGCTAGAAAAAGCCAGAAACATCTGGACACGAGAGCCACTCACTCAAAGGCCACACGCAGCTGTGGACGGGACTCACCAAGCAGAATTTGTCCCCCACCCCCCCCATCGATGTGATTTATTGTCATGAGCCGGTGCCCTCTTGAGCCGCGTGGCCGAAGGACCCCAATCTGTAGTTGACGGTGCTGCCAGTAAAAACAATTTAAAAAAAGACATTGATCCGCTCTGTCGTTACAAAAACAACCGTGACTTCCCCTGATGGTTTTCTCTGATAGGGATACGCCCTCGAGTGGTGATCAGTGCTAAGATAACATTTTTTGGGTGTTTTATTACAAACATAAAGACACACTGAGTGCACGCGGTTTGTTGAGCTGCCTTACGACAAATTTATGCAAAGCATTTTGCGAAACACTTTTTAAAAGGCATTTCGCATCGTCCATTTGGTACACGGTTCTATTTGGGGTTGCAATTGTCCCAAATTTTAACTCAAGTACAAATTCCAGGTATGGGTACTCAGGGAGCCTCTGTCACGATACTCAAGAGTGGAGTTATTGGAAAAAAAAAGTGCGATCAGATCCTCCTTTATTTTAAGCAGTTACGAGTAATGCTATAAATTGTAAAACGAGGCGTGACAGAAAACATTTGAGGTAGTCGTCAAAGTTCAGATCGGCGCGAGGGGGAACGTCTCTGTCAGCGAGACCGTCGAGTGTGAAAAGGAGCAAACGCTTAAGAGATCAGACTGCACATGTTAGAAGGAGTTCAGGTCAGGAGGCAAGGCTGACCCCTTGAGCAGGATTACGGTCAAACATCACAAGCAAGCGCCTTATTGATTTGCAGTTCAGTCAACGGCGCGCCGCCGTTCGAGCTCAGGCCTGCACTCCCTGCCGCCCATTTCCGTCACTTGAAATGTAAATGAAGCGCGCGAGCAAATGACTGCACAGCTTGATCTGGCAGGTTTACATAACGCTGGAGCGGACATGCGTGGCCGCGGCCAAAGCGACAACGCGGTTCCGGCTTGGCCCGGCTGTGAATGGCGCGGCCGAGTGCAAGTGTCTCACATTGCATTGCAGAAGGGAAGGAAGGCAAGGAGCGAGGAGCCCACGCAGCAGCCTGCTCGCCGCCCCCGCGCACACATTGGGACTTGCATTCATGGCGATGCTCATGCGTTGCTTCGCTGTCACTCCATTCAAACCATCCGGGGACTCTATTCAACACTTCGACATATTTATAAATTGCATCCGTGCAGCTAAAACGTATGAGGCTCATGCCCGTACACACAAACACACACACACATACACCGACTCACTTGACTTTTTCCCATCTTTATCTCGCCTACACACACTCACACACGCTGGAAAGTGCCAAAAAGAGTATTCCCAGATGGATACGAGCAGAGCGGGGATTATGTAACAGACTCCCAACTTGAGCCCCGCGTGGATGCGCGTTTGTCATCTTCAAGCAACTATGTACATGTTACGCTGGACGGGCTAAAATATATCATTTCATACAATCAGACCTCGGCCGAAGCTCAGTCGTTCACACTTCGAGGCTAACTGCATGTTCATCCGTAACTACCTCCTATATAAACTTGAAATGTGTCATTTAAACTCAGGGCCCGACCAATTAATCGGCTGGCCAAATTAATTGAACGATATTAGCCATTTTGAAATCAGCAGACTTCTGGGGTTTTTTTTACACGCCGACGCAACATATGACAAAAGTAATGACATCCAAAGACTCCCACCAAAGACGAAAAATCGAGAGGAAAAAAAAAATGAAAAGAAATTGGCCCATTTTTGCTGTTTTCTCTCTGCTGTAAAATTAATCAAGTACAAAAGGACAATGTTTTTTTTTCTTTTTAAACTACTCGAAATACACCCTGAAAAAAACGGTTATTGAGTGCAGGAGATGGCGGCTTTTACGTCCTAGCAACAGTCGGCTCTTAAAGAGGTTGCAGACACTGCCAGATGGAGGCAAGCCCAGGTCCGCATCCCCAGAACCGACTTTGCTCACTCAAGTCGTAATTCATTACAATCGTCCTCGGTTGCAAAGCCAGATTGTTGAACTAAGAGATGTGAACTTCTACCTGACAACGAGCAGGTTGCAAAAAAAAGAAAAAGCTGAACCAGGTTGGACTGTTAGTGTAGTTCAGAGATGGGCACTTTACTTTTTTTTTTAATCGCATTTACTGGAAATACTGGAAAAAACAAAAGGAAAAAAAATCTAGGAATATGCGAATCCCAAATTCCGAATTTTCAGGGGTCGAATGTACTTTTAAGTTTTACGAACACATATCACCACTAGATGGCAGACAGGTCTTCGTTGCGCATACATTGGCTCTTTTACTGCCTTATACGACGTAAGTAGGCTTCATATTTTTGGGCGGCTTGGGAATAATATGCAGGACAAACCTAGTACCTCTGCAGTACCTGCAGGGAGCAGATATAACTTTTACCCGCCCCACGTCTCACATATACGAATCCTTGCGTTTCAATGGCGGTCTCCCCTCTTGAAATTCCTGCCACCATCACCACCAGCACATTCCCAGGCCCTGTCCTTGCACCCCCCACCCCGCACCCCTTCCCCGCTCCTCGTATGCGGCTCGGAACAACGGCTTCAGTGTGGCCCAGTGGCGTCACCTTGCTCCTCCGCTGGACACTGGCAACTCTGTTTGGCTGAAGGGGAACCACCCCGACTTGGAGATTATGGGAAACTGGGAATGATCTTAAAGACTTGTTTGGACAAATTTGTGTGTGTTTTGGAACACGTTTACACACACACACACACACACACACACACACACACACACACACACACACACACACACACACACACACACACACACACACACACACACACACCTGCCCACAGGTGAAACAATGTGCCTGTTGTCGTGGGTTTTTTTTTTTCCTTTCTGGCTCTCCAAAATCCCCCACCTGACCACATCACACGGAAATGATCACAATAGCCTTGCTGTGTTGGTGCTATAGCTCCGGAGGGAAATGAAGGGCTTGCGCTGTCACCCCACACCTCATCTCACCCATCCAGGTGTTTTGTGATTTAGAAAAAAAATAATCTGATGCAAATGACAATCAGAACAAATGCTCTTCTATACAAGTCGCTTCGGGGACAGATTGGTCAATGGGGGGGGTTTGGGGAATACTAATAGTCAGGATCCCTTTTTTCTGGATAGTCTTCGGATTCTAACAGATGCAATCTTAACTATGACAATGTTTTGATTCACTTGTGTTGAGTCATACCAAGGATAAAGATTTTGCTACCTTGACTTCTTCGTTGTTGATACGGTGATACTTGGACGTGTGCGTACACGCTCTGGACGCTTTCCGGAAAACCCGATGATTTGTACTCTCCGAGACGGCAGCTGACGGGCGTTCACAGCCAACGAAACATCTGGATGAGACAAATGAAGACATACAGAATGACTTGCTGGGAAAGGTCCCTTGCAACTAGTGGCATCTTTCCTCGGTAGGCCACTTGTTCAAAGAAAAGCAATGCAATAAAAACTGATCACATTAAATTAATGGGCAAAACAAAAAAGAAGAAATTAACTAGTCAGTCCGATCGGTGGTTAGAATGTTTGGATTTGGTGCTTCAGACATCTTTCCCTAATTAGTGTCTGGTATCAAAAATGATATCAAATTCAAAGAGCCCTCTTTTTGTGATCAGCGCAAGTCTCGCGCAAAGTGCAGTCTAACCGTGCGCATGGGCGATGTTTTCTCGTTTTTGGTATTTTCGGGCGCACGTACAAATGGGCGTTTGCGCCGTTGCGGGAGTGAACACAGCGGGCTTGTTTCACATCCAGTGGAAGCGGTTCCACTCATTTCCTTTAAATTCCGAGCAGTAGAGGCGCACGGTTTTTAACAACGAGCAAGCAGAAAAGCGAGGTGCTGAGTCCATGCGGAAGATTGAAGCCCGAACAATACATTTATAAAATGCATGACAAGAGTTGATGCTTCGCTCGGATCCTATAACCCCTGATGAAAGCAAAGCAGTATGTTGCTGATGCTCAGAGGTTCTTTCAGCGGAGCGAGGAGGCCCCGCCCCTCGCCCGGCCAATAACAATGGACGCCAGCGTGATTAACCAAACAAATGCCACCGGTGGCACAAAAACGGGTCTATCAATGCACGTGGGCATTCCCGGCATGCCTCGCTGTTTACGTGCTCCGGGTGCCGGGAGGGGGTTCAGAGGGGTTCATGCGTTTGTGCGTGCGTGTGACTGGCGGCAAACCGCTTGCACGGATGCTGCCAAGCGGCGAACCGAGTGAACTCGGCAACTGAATGCATGCGGGCTTGTTGCTGTCCCAACTGTAAATGAGGGGATCTACCTCCAGGGCCCCGGGCCCGAGAGTGGCTTTTGTTTGACAGGAGCGAGCGCTCGTTTGCAGGATGTCACCATTGAGCTCCAAGTGTCAGCATCCGCATCAGACCACATTTCTCTTTTGTGTGTGTCGTCTGTGTGTGGCTTCGTGCGAAGGACTTTTTTTTTTTGAAAGAATCCAGGTTTGTCTTTATGCAGTTACATTTTTCCCCCCACCCCACGTAGGAAAATGAAGGATCTGAAAATGGCTGGCACTGAATGGGTTTTAAGAGACAAGCCTTAAATTAGATGTTAGTACGCTCATATGAATATGTAAATGTAAGTGTTAGCGGTGACACTGGGACGATTACATCCGGCAGCGCGTTTATGCTTTTCTGTGGAGCTCATTTAAAAAATTCCCCTAAACTGCACTTCCCTGTTCATCGCAACAAAGATGGTATCAATAAAATGGACAGTGTGGTTTCATATTTTGGTCAATTTGCATATGGCTCACATTTCTTATCCAGACGTTATTTGCTGCTTTTCATATTTTGAATTGCTTGTTGTGAATGATGACCTATATTGATCTCACCTTATTAACAGGTGACTGTTGCAGGCTTTAAATACAGATGGGTGTTTTTTTTTTTTTTTTTTAATACTCATAAACACGAAAGTCAATTTTTTTTTGGGGGGGGGAAACAAAATGTCATGTTCCCAAGTACTATGAGGCACAGCATTGAACGCTTGTGCAGACAACATCGTAAACCAGACCCAATAAATGCTTTGTCACAGCGGGCACTAGTTAGGGAGGCAAATATGGAAAGAACATGTGACGCGGCTTACTCCAGTGACGTGGGATGTTATTCAGCATGCGGCCCGACTGAGCCCGACTGGGGCTTAGAAGACGTTATCACGCGGTGGCAAACGAATGACAAGGTGACACGCACTCGCCGCGTCCACTTGACATCCTGGAAACAAAATAAAGAGTCCGAGGAGGGCGGACGCGGCAGCCGTAGCGGTTTAGCCTTTTCCAGCTCTTGAATAATTAAACAGTAACCGAGTGGATCACTACCATTCTATTTTTAGCCAGCATAGGCAACAAGAGCTGGACAAACATGTGTCAAATACACACGGGAGCCAGGCGGTGGCATTTAACATCAACACGACGTCACACAACGCCTGCGGCCAAAACAAGATCAAAAACAAGATGGCTGTCATGAATCGGAGGATGACTTGCTCCCCGAGGCACTCGACTGACACTTTGTTTGCTCCTAAAATGGATTCACTTTGTTCTAAAATAAGCTTCTGGAAAGCAATAAATGTCAGTGACTTGACGGCGCACTTTGATTCACTTTGTCTTCCATGAAACATTTTTCTTTTTCCTGGAACTCGAGTACTTGCTAACACACTAAAAGAACAACTCATAAAAGCTGATGACACTGAACTGGCCAGAAGAGACTTGCTTCTGTCTGCTCGAAGGCCATACTTCAACTTACACGATGTCACTTTTTGGCAACGCAAAACATGCCGGCTTGAAATGCGGGGAAAGGCCGCTTTGTTGTCGCCGCGGTAACCTGGGCTCAGCTTCTTTAGGGATTTCAAGATCGTCGGCGGACCAGCCAGGACACCTCGCATGTTGTTAATGTTTATAACGTTGTCATTTAAAAGCCGCATTCAGCGCGACTTTTTTTTTTACATGATTCCACGAGAGACATTTCAAGCTTGACTGAGTTCAAAGAGATACATTCAACCGTGACCGCATTCAATCTGCATATGAGCGACCTATACGGTCCAAGATGCTATCTTTTTAGCCCCGAGCTTAAGATGACCGGCACTTGTGCTGCGGCCTACCACTGAACTCCGTCTTTGCCCCTCCCCCCAAAAGCCCGCCGGTTGGAAATCCTTCACATCGTCTCAGCATATAAACGTCTATCTTCAAGCATGTTGAGTTCAATGGAAATTCACAAGGGGAAATAAAGGATAAGGGTGAGCACGGGGTTCCCCAACTTTTATTTAGCCACGGAAGATATGTTCCATTCGTCTCACAGCACATGGCCAAATTTAAATGTCATGAAAAGTATGGACAGCAGACCAAAATAATAAAGGGCGCTTGTCCACTTCATCGCAAATGTACAAACTCGGCATGTGAACGAGCGCCCTCCGACCGTGGAATCAACGTCACGTCTTGTGTCCCAATACTTTTGTCCACACCCCATGCAAACAAGACAATTTGCCTCTCCGTGATGTCATCCGCATGTTCGGTGACAGCTGGCCCTTTGCGAATCAACCTCCAGCTCCTGTTGACCAGAGATGATGTCACTCGCCAACGCGGTCAGACCGCGTAGCAACAAATTAGCTTCCGTACCAATTCATCAACGCCGGAAGTCGAGCTAATACGCAGAGGTTTGACCCCGCCGAAATGGCCGGCCGTATCGTTTTAAAGGTCGCAATAATGCCGAGCCCGCGGCCGCCTTATCGCATATATGCCCACACAAATGGACAAGATTAAGCACATTGTTTACGCACAATGGAAAAGTCCCGACGCCGATGTGACATATGACAACAGTCACTTGATAGTCGTAACCTTCCGCGGCGACGTCACCGCAGATAATCCGGTGAGACGCAAACATGAATAAACACACACAGAGCGCAATAATGGGGCTTGGGCGCGTAAGGCAATCTCATCCGTGTGTGCCACAGTGCGGCTCCGGGGGGGCTGCCTGTGTTGCCGTGCTGCTGGACTCCAAGTTGGTGGAGCGGAAGTAAGCTCAGCTGCTCACTGAGTGCATTCTTTTAAGCTACTGAGCTAATGGCTTCCTCCTCCTTCCTTATAAAACAAAACTGAAAGACAAAAAACAAAATTGGCAGCAGCAGCAGCATCATCACGGTTTGTTGAGTAACAAAGTCCTTTCGGGACCTTTGCCATCCACCTGAGTGCCTTTGCCACCCACGTTTGGATCACTGCCATTTGCTTCTGCTTTGCCAGGGAAAAGAATTACAACCGGAGGGAAGCCTTCAAGCACATTTTATCGATCGGCTGACCTCTCGCATGGTCTATTTTCACGCTTAACCGGAAATTCAAAAGGAAAAGGCTCGTAATTTACGCACGCTGACAATGGAGCTAAGTATTTCCGAAATGAAAGACTAATGTTGACAGAAGTGTGCTGCACACTCACGTTTAAAATGGCCGCCATCCAATACTTGAGAGGTCCATTTACTTTTGCAAACTATCGTTCGGAAAATTTAAAAATGGGAGTTTTAGAATCTGCGAGGAGGCCGGCGTGGTGTGTCAACACATTGCGCGGCGCTCCCATCGCATGCGTGCGTCCCTCTCTTCATGACGTGCCACGCAAAGGCTGCAGGATGGCAGCGCAAAGTAGGCCGAGAGCAGCGACCTCCTCGCACACGACCGTATTTGCACTTTGCTGCGTGCGTGCTTGCTCTGATGCCGCGTGTGACCTAGTTGCGCTCGGCCCGCATCTGAGTTTCTGCGCTGCAGGTTACACTGCGTTATGATGCACTTTACTTGCTCCAATAAAAATGCAAGCGCTCGCTTTTGCAGAGACGCGGGTGGGGGGGATTCAGCACTCACACTTGAACCGAATTACAGCAGATCCAATTTTTTTTTACATCATGGAGTTACTATATGTTCTTGCTTTGTGATTGACTTTCGGGAACACTACCGGCTTAGTATTATCGTCATTATTCTTAGTGGGAATACCACGTTTCCCCCCTTGTCTGGGAACTGGATGTCCTGGTTGTAACACAATCGCCGTGACGACTTTGGCCATCGCCGTGGATACGGAGCCACAGGTAAACAACAGAGGGGTGGGGGGCGGCGATCCAGGCTAGGTGAAGATACAATGAAGTGATTTTTAAATCTAAACTCGTGTTTCATTCACGATGTCGGACCCGGAGTGTCATCGTGAAACTGACGACACAATTGTTGCATTGACGCGCTTGCTGTGGCATCGATCCACCCGAGGGTGCGAAACATTCTCACATTTCTTCCAATTCAAAGACTCTGAGGTCAGCGAAACTGTGACCGCATGCCTCGCTCGCTCGCACTGTGGCAGGATCGCAATGTTCCACATCAGCAAGGGACTGGTGTGACTGTTTTCAAGGGAATTTAATGTGAAATTAATGTGATTAATTTTCCAACAAATACTGTAAATGCACTAAAAAAACAACATCGGAACTCACTTCCAAATAGCAGGCCCTGTGATGATATATTCCAGTAAAATGGGCTAAGAATGCTATATATCGATTCAACGAAACTGATTCTTCGACAGGATTAACTGCCGAGCAAGTCCAAAATCTTGTCTAAAAAAAAATGACTTGGGACTACAAAATCATTCTGAATTCTTGCAGGGTTTCGGATTTCATTTTGAAACATTCCTGGAAAGCCGGCCCCCATCCATAACTGTTCCATCCTTTTGAGTTCAAACAGATTCCCAGGCTCTCCGCAGCCATCCATATGGTTCTACATATTCTCATGGTGAAAGTACAGTAAGCTCCCATACATTCCCGCTAGCTGTGCTGAGCCTCAAGTGGCTGTTGCATACCTGTGGCCAACGCTCGGCCTTTAATCATCGTCACCGAGGAGGCACACCAGACTTCACTCTTTAAACAAGAGCCTAAAGTGTTTTGGGGTTTTTTTTTCCAATCTCAAGAGTTTATTCTGCAAGACTCGTAAACTGTCTGTCTATGAGGCTGTGACATTTGCACTGGTAGTTCAGCGAAAGAACCGGAATGGTAGGAAGATGCGCCAAAACGACAAAAACAAAACACAGATGAATTTTTCATGCACGCGTGAGTCGGGTAAGTCGTAGGGATACTCCGAACAAAACGTGACTGACAAGGTGTCCTTCAGCACAATCGACTGTGACAGCAGAGAAGATACCCAATTACTCTCCGGTAATAGTCATTATTTTTTAATTTAACTTTTTTTTTCTTCCATCCTTGCTTTTGTTAACTCCCAATGATGTCTGTGCTTGAACACGTGCCCTCAAAAAAAAAAAAAAAAAAAAAACATGAAAGAACACCTCAACATTTTATCTCAGTGTGTGCTCACACTTACCGCTCATGTTTACAGTGCCGATACATGGTGTTCCACAGAACAAAGAGTTCCTTCAGGGTGAGCAGCAGGTTCCCTCCAGCCTCACAGCCAGGTACTCCTCCACTGGCAGCAGCGCAGCTTTTAATGAACACCAGGACCAGACCATGAGGCACTAAGTCCCAGCAGAGAGCAGGAGACCTCCGCAGTGAGCGGCAATATCTACACAACACATCGAGAAGGTTCAAACTGAATCCCAGGAAGGTTGAAGAAAAATCAAGTTAACACATGGACTACACATCAACACCATGTAGGCCACAGTATTTTGTCCATGAGGCCACTGCACCTACAGGATGTGAAAATGAAAAAGAAAACCACCACCACATTTCTCATTTGTGCCAAAGGTATTTCATGGGCTTGAGGTCTTCTGCGTGAGTTCCTCCGTACCAAATTTACTCAAGCACACCTTGGGCCCTTGCTTTGTTTGCTTGAGGGCCAAGCCATTGTAAGCTTAATAGAAATGGCGAACTAATTACTAGCCTAAATGTTAGTTAAGTATATTGGGAGATTGAGGGTAGAGGCTGTACTATGTTCACAAAGCTGTTAACATCAATGGTGACTTATTTTTTTTAAATAAAAGCATTATATTCATTAACAGCGCTGAAAACGGAGCCATTGTTGAATGTGGGCAAGTAGCGAGAAAGCCACGATAGAAACAGTCATGGCGGAACATCAAGTGACGTGGTAGCATTGGTGCTAACACTAGTATTTTTGACGAACGTTTCTCCTACAACGTATATATTTACTTCATGGGTGGCTCACTGAAGTGTGAAGTAGATCCGCATTACTCACCGTCATTCATTTATCACATCACATAAGGGTTTTGATATTTGGACATGAACGTTTGGACTGCGAGGACAGGAAGTTGCTGCGCATGTTTCTCCTCAAAGTGACAGCGCCAACTAGAGGCCTGGCATGCATGATACACATGATTACTGTAAACGTCTGTTTGTATATTGCATAATATTGTACCCCTAAAAGTACGCTTTATTTAGTGCTAAAAAGTATAATGTATAGTGTGACATAAAGAAAACAATTTATACCATTTATGCTGCCACATTTAGAGTGCAATAAACCATAACTAACTGGCTGAAGTTGAAGAGGAAAACTGTATTTCTATTGCTATGGTTATTGTCTCGTCTTGGATTACCACGGTTATACTTCATTGCCTTTTACCCCAATGTTAATAGTTGATGATAATGCAACAATGATGACAGAGATTCTTAAAGTACGAGGCACAGGCGTCAGTCTAGATTTAATTGTGGCATTACACTCAAGTGTAAGAAATCAATGAATTTCTCAAGACATTGTTCTGCCACAATTCCTGCTGGTTTGGTATTGTGACCATGACGCGCGCGCATACACGCGCCTCGACACAACATAGCATGGGCCAGTGCGAACTCGTGCATTGTGATGGCCGCGTGTCCTGAAAGTGGGGTCAGACGCATGGACACACAAACACACACATACATCGAGAAACAAAGAAACTAGTGTGAAGCGTAGTATCGCTGGCAGCGCTAGTGTGATCTCTCGTCTCGTCTTTTCCTGTTCTCGGTGCTGGCACCGCAGCCTGTGCCGCCTGTGTGGGTTGACACCCACCGGCCCATCTGCGCCCAACATGGGCCCTCAGGGCCCCTGGAGTCCATCTGGCATCCTCCTCTTCTGTCTGGCGACTCGTCACCTACGAAAGTCTCTTGAAGTCATCCAAAGCGCCTTGTATGCTAGTGGTAATCCGCGTACTTTTCATATGATGTCATTGGATGAGGCCCCTACGACCTCCACCTCAGATTGAATGCTCTACATGGAAGCGCGAATGTTTCAATGGTCGTGTGGCTCATGGACGTTGACTAAAAGTGTGTGGGGGAGGGCGGACCATATGCCCACCCATCTTCATTTAATGAGGATTTCACAGTGAGAGTGGATGAGGCCTCATCATCATTTGCAAGGGTTTGGGATGAAGAAAAAGATGGCCCTCATTTACATGCCAAAAAGCCAGCGAGACGGTAAAACAATGGGAGGATTAGCGGGGTCGGTGCTTTGGAAGTGCTCGGGCAGAGTTGAGTTCATGAATGAACCCAAGTCTTCATTAGCAACAGCAGTGCTTCAGCGATAGCACAAGTAAGGTAACGCAAGTTTGTTACGATATCTAGTTTTGGTCGGAAGGGTAAAAGCACGGGGCTTCGTTTGAACACACCAGCTGTGACTTGCTCCGTCCAACCACATGTGCCTCTTATTAGCAGTGCGGTTTCTGCACATTGTCATGCAGTTCATGACTGCTATGATGTCTCGTGCCGTCATGCTGGCAGGCCCTTGTGTTGGGTGAAAAAAATAAACTAAAATTACATGGTTTATTGACATTCTTGCATTTTGGGGGAGGGGGAAAAATCACACCACCAGTTGTTTCTGTACATAAAAGTGGGTCTTTAATTGAAAATTTTGTATCAAAAACAAACAAAAAAAAAAATTCATCCTTTGGAGCCCCGAGTGGCAACAGTGAGCCCTAGGTTATCGAGGCTGTGTGGAGACCACAAATGTTTTGCTTCCCAAACAACTCAAAACTTCAACTTGAAAGTACAGAAACCAGATGGATTTAATCTCCAAAGTAGTTAACATTCAAATCCTTTCAACTTTAAGTAAACTCATTTCATCTGCTTTACATCGACAACTGTCAGTGCATCCTCCACATCTACAATTAAAAAAAAAAAAAAAAAATTGTCGATAATGTAAAAATAAGTTAGGAATGCAAACTAAAGGCCAAGTAGGATATGCAAAAATTATTTTTAAAGGGAGGGGAGTTTTAAGCATAGAAAATAAATAAATAAATAACCACAGAACGTGGAATGTCTACATGTTTACAAATAAATTAAAAGCAAATGGGAAGGGGGAAAAAAAATTTACACACTGACAGAAGGGGGAACACACTGTACAATATTTGCCCCCCCCCCAAAAAAAAACAACAGAGTTGATGAATATTGCATTGATTGTGCATTTCACACCCCAAGGAGCCCCCGAGGGAGGCCAGGAGTGGGGGACCATGAAGTGTCAAGCAGTGAGATGGCGGGGGGCAAAAAGTTAAAGAGGCGCGACAGAACTCGCAACAGGCATGGCTGAACACAGCAGGAGGGATTGGGGGGGGGCAGAGGTGTGTGTGTGTGTGTGTGTGTTTACATGTTGTAGACATTCAGAAAGACAGGATCCAGTTTCCAAAACACCTGTTCAGGCTATAGAGTGAGTGAGCAGCTTCGAAGAGTGATACACAGTTGCGTGCGTGTGTGTGTGTTTCAAGTATTCCATTCTCTACTCTTTAATGCTCTCGCAGCCTCTCAGCTGGGGGCTACTTGGCTTGTCGTGATGGAGGCACTTGGTCTCCATCACTGAGGTTGAATCCGAGGGAAAAAAAAAAAAAACTGAGATGAAAAGCCCCCAGAAAAAGCAGCGTTTCCCTCCCCCCAAAAAAAGGCACTCCAAAATTAAAACATTGGGGAAAAAAAAGTTTTCTCCTAAGCTCTATGAGAGCAGCCATATCTGAATAGGAAGGCCTTGCCAGATGCATACACCAGCCTACTGACAAAGGGAAGGGCAGAGGGGGAATAAATAGTTCTGGTAAGACCACCCAAACAGCAACATGTTCCCCTTTAGGAAACAACTTGTATCAACTGAATGAAAAAAGGAGATGTGGGGGAGAATTAAGAGAAGCAACAACAAACAGTTGCACCCAAACAGCAACATGTTCCCCTTTAGGAAACAACTTGTATGATGCTAACTGAATGAAAAAAAGGAGCTGTTGTTGGCCATTGATCAGCCAAGCTCGGCCACAGGCGACCATACGAGAGTCCATTAACTCCTTGCGGCCTGGCCTTGCCCCCTCCTCATCGCCCCCAGCGAGTCTTTAGTGTTTCAGACCGCTCCTCAGAGGCTCTCCTTGCTCGAGGTTGTGCTCGATGACGAATCCGTGGCGATGGTCCGCAGGCGGATGTCGCCGGCGGCCGGCTCCTCGGGATTGGACTCAGGCACCTCGGCCGACACCCTCATCCAGGGGTGGTCGCAGATCTGCTCCAGTGTGGGCCGGTCGGAGGGCCGCAAGGCCAGGCACCATTTAATCAGCTGCTGGCACTCTGTTGAATCAAGAGATGGCGTTAGGATGACAACTGCAAAGGGATGGTCCACTTCATTTGTATGATAACTGTTTATGAACTACAAATCATGCCAGGGTGGTGTGCCGCAAGATCTTTTTTTTTTTTTTGTAGGAAAACAAGTGACTTGGCTCAATCAAGGTTGGGAAACACCGCTCCAAACTAGTCCTTTCACACCGGTTCATTCCAGATCCCATTAGTGCAGCTAGGCGGCGACAAAGTCAATCTTTGCGTGCGCCCTTTCAGCCCGTCACCCACTCACCAGCTGACACCCTCCTCCTGAAGTACACTCTCCCCCGAAGGATCTCCTCGTCCTGCTCGAAGGGGATATCTCCGCACACCATGTCGTAAAGCAGCACGCCGAGCGACCACACCGTGGCTGAGCGTCCGTGATATCTGTGGAAGCGGATCCACTCTGGTGGACTGTACACACGAGTGCCTAAAAACATCAAGAGGGAGGGGGGTGGAGCAGTGAGTATGGAGGGTACACACACACAAAAAAAACATGTTTGGTGTTTCTGTGTCATGCACAAAAAATAAAGAAGCTCCCTGTACAATCACAACAAACTGGCTACCGCCCCCTCCTCCCCCACCATAACAGAGCAGGAAACGTGATCCCATCATGTGACGCGGCGGCTCGGGTTTCACAACAAACGCGTTACGTGGCACTCGACTACCCGACTGTGACTCACGCTGTTCGATTCCGGTACAGTATGGATCCACGTGAATCACGCGGCATGGATTCGTCACAAGCACCAACGACTCAATTTGAAATGGAAACAATGACGAGGAAAGTGCCCCCCCCCCAGCAAAAAAAAAAAAAGACTGCCGTTCGTTCGATTCCCATGTGATTCACGAGTCAATCAAGACCAAATACAAAATATTAAATTTACAACATTTAATGAAGAGAGGAAACCCCCACCCCCCCAAAAAAAAAAGAAAAAAGGAGGAAAAAAATACCACTGCGTCACCGGCTGGTGAACGCCTCCGCGACTGAAAATAGCACCGACGAGTGCAACAAGGGCAACGCTAAGCAAGCCCGGGCCAGAAATCACCAAAACAACGCAGCATCTTACCGTCGAAGTCGGTGTACACGGTGTCCTTGAGAATCGCCCCAGAACCGAAGTCGATAAGCTTGAGCTCGCCGGTGCGGAGATCCACGAGCAGGTTCTCGTCCTTGATGTCCCGGTGTACCACCCCGCAACTGTAGCAGTGCCGCACCGCCTCCAGGACTTGGCGGAAGAAGCCCCGCGCCGCGTCCTCGTCCAGGGCGCCCTTCTCGGTTATGAAATCGAACAGGTCCTTGACGAGCTCCGGCCTCTCCATAACCAGCAGCCAGCCGTCGGCGCGCTCGTAATAGTCCAGCAATTTGATAACTCCACGAAACGACGAGCTGACCTTCTTGAGCAGGAGGATCTCGAGCGGGACCATGCTTCCATTCTGAGACCCGAAAGAGAAGGAATCCATGATGAGTGCGGGGATTACACGCAGCCCAACCCTCCATTGCATCAAAACAAACACTTACAATTGAGCCCCACTCGGTCACCCTTTCCTTCGCGACGTGTTTTACAGCCACCTAAAAACCCACAAAGAAAACATTTAGAAATAAGTCGCATAAAATGGAAATTCCCAATTTCTCCACTGCGCCCGCGACTCACCGGTGCCCCGTCAGAGAGCCTGCTGCCGGCGTACACGGTGCCGAAGCCACCGCTCCCCAGCACGGAGCCCACCTGGTACACCTTTTCGAACGGCTCCTTCTCCACTTTGACTGTTTCGGGGGGACAACGTGTGGCGAACATTAGCTCCCCGAGTAGTTCCACAACAGCCGGTCAGCAGTTAGCCGTTAACCTCTTTCAACTCTCCCCGCCCGCAGCAACGGCTTTGACCAAGACGTTAAGGTTACCTACCCGGCTGAAGCTGAATTTTCACTGGCATGTGATCCATGCCCGAAGGGTTGCAAATATGAGAAAATGAACCAAACTTTGACAGCAACATATTAGAAAAAAAAGGAGGAGGTAAAAACGAAAATCCGGTGGTGGTGTTCCAAGGCAGGCAGTTGAGGTTTCGACAACGACTAGTAAGACTTTAGGGGGTTCGGGCGCCGTCTAAATAGTGGTGTGGACCGTCCAGCAGTGCGCCAAGTTGGCCGCACCGCGCCCGTTCTCTTCGAGTCACGACCGTAAAGTCGCACACCAGTGCCTGAAAACCGACATGAAAGCGGGTCCGAGTTGGGTTGGGAGGGTCTCGAGACTCGAGATACCGCCAACAAAAACAAAACTAGGTTCCGATGAAAACAACAACGAGCGTAGATTCCCGAGTTTCCTAGAAACGCTCGCGAGTGTGGCAGGTTGCAATGTCATTCGCGGCGTGTAGGTATCCTGAGGACTAGTTGCCGCTGTCTGAGCTTTGACGCGGTTTCCCAGAGCCAATATTTTGACGCGCAGTGGGACGTTAAGTATCCCTCCGCAGCTAACACAGGACGAACCTTTCGCTCAAATCACGCGTATAAAACACCGCCTTTCACAAAATACGTGTCCTAAAATGAGCGAACTACACAACATGTTATTCAAAGACACTTCTGGCCGACAGTATTGTCTGAAAACACATTTGCATCACGGGACTACTTTCTCGTAGTATGAGACGCGCAAGAAACTCTTGTCTGGTAGATTTGCACTCGGTTCACTATAGACTCCGAGGCGGCAACCAATCAGATGTCGTATATAAATACTCGCTTTTGGGTATTGGCCAATCAGGTAAAAGTTGTTGTTATAAAGCAGACATTTGAGTGCACGTGGCGGCAATTTTGTGATGTTACCCCGCCCCCCGCCACCCCACCTCCCATGCAGCAGGAGACAGACAGTCTGGTTGGAAAAGAAAAGCTCATTTTGTTGACAACCCATAGCAAATTAGTCATGAATATGTCCCCACTGCTCTTTGTTCAGGAGGGTGTGTTTCCCAAATGTACTGTTAAAATAGTCCACTTAGCAACACAAACTCGTCGCTAATTGTCAGTAACTATGGTTACCGCATTCAAGGAGTGCGAAGGTGTTTGGAATATTCAAATATAAGCCATGAAATCAAATTTTGCATGATTTAAACTCCAAAATCGAGTACAAAAAGCCTAGAGTTGAAAATTCAAGTGTGCCCGGATGATATCGCGACTGACTCACAATTTGACACTGAGAACAAAGTAGGTTAGCAAGATGAAAACACTCGGATCAAAGTTTGCAAAGTTAGCCGTTCAATTCCGGAGTTCAAACGTTCTACGTTTACTGTCACACATGGCAACATGACCTTGGCTTGCTGTGAACTTTCCACTGTTTATCTCCACCATCCTCCGATAACCCGTGCGTGTATGTGTGTATTTTTGACCGCTAACCAAACAAGAAGCGTTTGAAAAGTTCCACGGAACGTTATCGGGCCACAGACCGAGCCGGCGCAAAGTTATGTAAATGTACACTGCAAACAAGAAAACTGTGTCTCGGCTGTAACTTGCTTTGATGTTTCCAATATCATATTGATTAGTGAAATTCATACCAAGGCAAATCTTTTTGAAGTTGAATTTTCAATGTATACTCCACATTCCACCGTTCACCAAAAAAAGCAAAAGAAGTCACAGTTGTTTTTGTCCAGGTACTTAAGTGTATGCATTCCTTCTATGACTCCTCACATTCCCCCCAAAAATGCTTTCTAAGCCCGAATTTGACTTCAAGGACTGAGCCAAAGTATGTTTTCATGACCTTGTGGATCAGAACTGGAATTTCTACCCAGAAGGGCTCACTTTTCAGTGGTTTTCCCCTTATTGTTCAAAAAGACACAAGTCAGTTCAGGTGAAGTTTTTATGGCCTCGTTTCTCATGGAGTAACACACTCCACAACTATTCACAGTCATGGAGATGCAACATAATACCCGGACAGGAAAGCGCATGGTGGGCAATGCGAACGTGGGGACACGGGTGGACTGAGGTGAAGCGAAGTGCTTGTAATGATACCCGCGCGATAGAGGAGATGTCATTTATGTCAAAACGGCTGTCGACGGCCTGACGGTCACCACGCGCAATCATCACACGATTGGAAATTCACAGAGGTGGTAGTAGGTCACATATGTGCAAGTCAAGTCTCAAGTCATCACCTTCAAGTCTCAAGTTACTTTGAGGAAGGAAGAAAAAAAAAAAAAAAAAAAGAAGCAGGGCAAGTCAGGTCACCACCAAATTTCAATCAAGTCAAATGAAGTCATTACTTGGTCATAAGTCAAAAAATCTTGCTCAGTTGAAATATATACAGTATTCGTGATAATACTGCCCCCCCCCCAAAAAAAAACATGATCTCTCCAAAAAAAAAAAAAAACATACAAAATAACTGAATACTTACATTATTGAGCAGAGTGCATGTTACTATTTTTTAGTGTCACTCCCTGACTGGGATGATAAATATTGAAATATGCTGAATGTGGGAGTAAACATCTCTAATCATCAGATTGATGAACTCAGTACGTTGTGTTTGGGTGCCAATCTGTTTGCCAAATCGACCAGTGTGTAAACGGTTAAATGAGACACATACACGGACACTTTGCAGGTTTGTCCCTCTATGAGTGGAGTCGACATGTATTCGTTTCCGGGGGCCCTGCCACATCAAATATGGCGGACATGCTCACATCCAGAAAAGTCTTCAGAGTGAGGTCTATGGGTTGATGTGTACCGCCTCAACACCAACCATGGTATCTAATCTATTACTTTATTTTCCTCTCAATGCAACGCGTAATCTACATCAAGTTTTGTTAATATTTGACCAGTTAGTGCTGAGCTAAACTGTCGGGCTAAACTAGCGAGCTTCACAGTTCACACAGAGAGCCTCCCTGCATCTGACGGATGAAAGTAAACGTCGTAGATTGGTGGCACGAAGAACTTTCAAATCAAAAGGCGCACCACAGTAAGAAGAAAAAGATATTAAAATCCAAACCGAATGACTTGTCAAGCCATGAAATTTGTGACTGAAATCCACTCGTCATGTGATTCGAATCCCCCACTTCTGGGAATTCCGTTGTATAAAAGTCATTTCCTATACTTGTTGACGTTCCGCAAATTGAGCAAGCAAATGAAAAGACATCATTAGATCGTTAAAGAAGACGCTTGACCTTACAAGCCCCCGACGTGACTTTTCGAGCAGCCTCTAAAAATACCGACACGCACTCAATAATGCATTTCGTAGACAGTATGCGTCTCTCAATCGTATGATGCGGACTATTGGAGTGCATTCTGTTGGGATGAATCCAATCTTTGCTCTGGATAAGGATCAGTCAACTTGATGAAGTATTCATGATTGTGTGCTCCCCCCCCAACCCCCGCCCTGACAAGCGTCTTTTTGCTGTGGTTTGATATGAAATGCGTGCTATGCAGTCGTTTGCGGCTCTCATGGGAAATCATCATCAGGCTTTAAGAAAAAAAAAAAAAAAATCATGTGCGTCACTTCTCAGAGAAAAGCCATGAAGAAGAAAAATGGCTCGTGACACTGTGATGGCGCTTGTCACCGTCCGTGGCTCCTCTCGTCTCGGGTGTATTTGTGCACATGCCTGGGATGCCTCCCACTTTCCTTTGCTCTAATTGCCGCCTTGGTAAACGGTGTCGGCCAGGCCGAAAGGGGTCCGGCGGCATTTGCATCTCTAATTTGATGGCTTTCACCGGGGACACATAAAACCAGACACAGCAGAGGTTAACGCGGCCACATCAGAGTCCTGGAGTCACCCCGTGGTTATTTTTAGCGGCCACCGCGCCGGTTAGTAGCGGCCGCAATCATTTCGGTAAGCCCGACGATTGAAATCGATCCAGCTTGGCTTTGCTGGCGCTCTCTGCCACGAGACTGGAATTGGGACGTTGAGTCGTATGACCAGGATGTGCTTACGGGGCACGCTTAAAGCTTTCGCCACGATTCCCCGCCATTCAAAATCATTTGAGTTGAGTGACAATGCCGCGCGTGTTCCACTATTGTGCGCTTGTCATGCGTAGTTCTGCAGAGCAGACCGGTCGCCGTATGGATTACGATCCCGTCACAACATTATGCAACAATGTCAGGCCGGTCAGTCTGGTAATCTGCCGGCCGCGTTGCGTAATCACTCATTAGCGCTTTTAACACATTCCCTCGCACCTTCTCCGTATGCAGATTTGGCCGGAGAATGCTCTATAGGCCGCGTGCGTCACACGCAGAAAACCGATGTGATGATTTTGTGTTCGATGAATAACATGGACTGACTTGAGTATTTACCCAAGATACTAAGCCAGAGTTGCGCTGGTGCGCAGCGGCGTGTAAATTTAGCCGCCATGAGGGTCAAACGTAGGGGAAAGTGACATTTCTGGTCCTTGGATTGCTTATCGCCTTCTGCGTAGAGCAGCTGAACAATAATAGGTTGAGCGAAAAGACAAATTAGAATACTGCGCTGGTCGGCCGGGGGCTATTTAATTTCTGTGTCACCGCCAAGCGGGCAGGTTAATGATGCCCTCGGTGAATGAGTGAGCAACAGCAGCTTCCGGCATCCACACAAACAGGACAGACACTCAAACCAAACCGTGCGCACGCACTTGGCCCCGCTTCCAAACTTTTGTTTTATTTTGCGAGACCACATTTTGAAATCTACAGTGGGTCTTATCAAACTTTTGTAGGTATTTTTTTTCCTCGCCCGAAAAATTACAACTCAGGTTTCTGTCACACATCAATATTCAGTTTTTTTTTCCTTCTCCAGTAAAAAAAAAAAAAAAAAAAAAGATTTTAATATGATGTTCTTCCATTTGTCATGCAAAATTCTGATCTACATTTTGCGGTATTCACGCAATTTGGGATGCAAAACTCGGACTTGTGTCAAGTAAAAAAAAAAAAAAAAATCTCACACTATTCAAATTATTCTGATTAAATTGTGACTTTTCTTTTGCAAATTCAGCAATAAGCCTTTATCTGTAACTATAACATAAACGTGTCAAATGTACATTTTCCAGGAGGAAAACAAGCTCCACGTTGACGGCCCGAGTCAAAACACGTTTTTTTTCTTCTTCACTGGTGTCCCACTAATGGATTGCCCTCGAGCTGACCACATTTCTGCAAATGTAACGATCACAGTGACACTGCAAATTTCGCTTCGCCGTTGACATAAATGGTCCCGGAATGGAATTTCTACTCTTATCCTGATTAAGAGATTGTTATTTACTACTCGGTAATCACTCTGTAAGTCGATTGCTCAAACCGTTAAAGAGAAGTGACCCCCACAGGCGGCCGCGTCGGTGCTTAATCCTCAGCGGCAAAGTGTCCGTATATAATTGACACATACTGTATACATAGAAAACGGAGCTAAGTGCTCCGCTTCCCTTCACTGACTTGATCCATTTAACTGCCCATCCCTATCTTAAGAGGATACCGAGCCCAAAGCTTTAAATCCCCCCCCCCCGCCCCCACCCCACACAGGCCGCGACCCTGGACGGGTGGGCCAGAAAAGGACCAGTTGTAATCTTGTGTTTAAAAATAGACACGCGGACGAATGAACACGCATTTTGGGTCTTCGTCGATTGGATGTTCAGATTTCCTCGCATTCTCCAACGCTCGCGTCGGTTCCCTTTCGGCGCTTTGAGCCGCGCCGCGGGCAACGTGATTGGCTCTCCGCTTTGACGGCATACTGCTGACTGTGTGTCTGCGAGGGCCCGGGCTCGGACACGAGCTGCCCGGTCAGCAGTCTTGTCGCCACACACACACACACACACACACACACGGACGCGCCGTTTATTTTACCATCGCGCGCAAGCGGCTCCGAAGAAACTGCGCCACAATGTGCAGAGGGACGGCGAGAGAAACATCACGCTCCCCACCCCCCCCCTCCTCCTCAATTTGAAGCTCAAGGCCATCATCATGATTAATTCACCGGCGTGGCTAGTAGCCACATGTCGCAGCCAAGCTCGTAACCCCCCCCCAACACCGAAGACCTTAATCCGCAGGTTCCGATGGCCCGGCGCGGCTTCGGAGCCCCTCGCCGTGACGCCTATGACGCCGGCGGCACAATAAAAAGAGTCCCCCCCCCCTCCTTTTTCCCCGCCAATCCTTCGCACCTGAGCGCTCACACTTACATGAACGACGCGGCGGAGTCGGAGGAGGGGCCGGCGATGGGGTGGCTACGCATTATCTTTGAACTCAATGTGCTTCTGGCCTGGTTTACATGACCGCCGTAATTAATGGTAGTATGGTGCTCGTGTGATTGACAGTTGGCCTGGGCTAACCCTCGCAGAGGTTTTCTCGTGTCATGGTACATATGCGCTTGTTGCGTCAGCTTTACCTAGCTTAAACCGGCGCCAGAAACCGGATGGAGTTGTAATATTGCAAGCAAATTAGAGTTGGCATGGAATCACCAACTTTTTTTTGGCGATGATCCACCCCAGTCAGGTTCGTGTCGGGGCTTGCATGCGTGTTTTTGGAACGGCGGGGGCCCTGCCGCTTCAAATACGGCGGGCACGCTAACGATCAGAAAAGTCGACTTGATTTGGGTCATCGGGGCTAATGATGCTGATTAGCGCCGTGACCTTCCACATTCTTCTCTGTCTTGTCCTCGCGAAGGCCCCGACTTAATGAGAATACATCGGCTAGTGACGAAACGGCTCCCAGCGAAGGGGCGAGCTAATTGCACGTCGATGGGCGCTGCTCACTCAGCACTTCGGAAGGCAAGACCCCCCCCCCTGGTTTCGTTTTTCTAATTGGTCACCTTTCGTAGTGTAATCAAAAACAAGACTTGGCGCTTATGTAACAATCCGAAGCAAAAACCATCCACTTATTCCCCGCGCGGCGGCCTTGTCAATATCGGCGGCGAAAGATTCATCTGGATGCCAACCTTTCATGACTCCCCGACCAAAGTGGACCAAAGTGCTCATGTGAGGTGGAGTCGCCCAAAAACAAGGGGACGAAGGGAACGCGACGTCAAAGCGGCACGGTGGCCGCGCCTGTCGCGCCGTCTGATGACACCTCGCGTGCGATTCAGCGCTGCCGCCTCATTCCTCGGATTGTGCCGCAGACGGATTGCGGGGCCTTGAACTGCGAGTAATTACGGCCAGGAATGCGCGCAGCTGAGAAGCCAATGAGAAGGACCACGTTGGCATGGCAACCGGCAAGGCGTTAATTATTTTCTTCCTCGTCGGAAAGGGAGGAATCCCCTCTTCAAAGGCAAGAAACACCTGCGAGTCACCCCCCCCCCCCCCACCCAACCCCGAGCCCCCAGTTTCTTGCTTTATTGCCTGTGCCGGTTCCCTGTGTTTTCACAAGCCTTTTCCGTCGCCTGTTCTCCCAATTTCCACTTCACATCTTCTTCTCGCCTCACCCCTGCACCGTCGGGTCGCCCTTCACCCGAGTTGATCGCTCGCTCACGCTGGCTTGCGGGTAAAACCGGCGCATCGGAGGGGTTTTGCGGAGCTCCCGTTGTCATCTCTTTCTTCTGATTACATTTCATCAAACAGGATCGAAGCGAGGGGAAAGAATGATCTTCAAAAATGCTAAGTTGTCATGCTCTGCCGGAAGGCGGAAGAACTGGTTTGGTGTGGACGACACCTACTTGGCCGCCACGCGATGACGCAAACCGCATTGAACTTGGGGGAATGCAGTTATTATACAAAGGAGGGAGGGGTCACATGATGAAAAGCGCCTTTCATGTCGCCGCCTCGGCTTTGCGCACGGTCGTTGGAACCCGCCGTCGTCAACAATTTGGCGTATTCCGTGCAAAATGTCGTTGACAGGCATGCGCACATTTACAGGTGGTGCTCCGGCACCAACCCCCCGCCCCCCTCCCCTTTGCTTTAGATTTAAAAAGTGAAACAAGGACCCTCCCTGCCCACCGCTGCCCTTTCAAGTGTTTTGCCATTGGGATTCTAGAACTGTTCTAATAGTAAGAGAGATATTTTTCCTCCGATTTTGTATGATCACTTTAAATGGACGCCAAGTCGACATGTCGTTGCTCTTTTCCACTTGAAATGTCTTTTGTTCAATTCAATGAGCTCCAAACTCTGTTGATCACGCCAACAGATTTTCCCTTTCCGCACTCAATAACAACCAGATTGTTTTTGCTCTCCTTGCCACGTTTAATTTGAGTGATGGGCAAAACACGTCGGCTCGCCGGGTCCACCCCCCATTCTTCCTGCTCTTTAATTGGTTCGTCAACAGGACCCCCGGCCTCTATTTGCGCAGGGCTCCACAACACACACGCGCGCGCACACTCGGAAAGTCACACAAAGCCACCAAAACCAGTGGGGGTGTGTGACCGCGCTGGGGCCAACTGTTTCCAAAAGGGGGCGGGGCAGGGCGGCGGCGGGGGTTGGGGGCACTCTGTCCCCCCTCTCAGCTGATTAGGAAACGACCAGTAAGGCTATCGCAAACTTTCCTCCGACACGGAAAACACCTTGACATGCGCGGCTTTGTGTTTGTCTTTCAGCCGTGCGGCATTGGCGGGTAAACACGGTCGCTCGCTCACATCTATCGGACCGATTTTCCATTTGGCGGGGCTGGCCCGGATCGAAAACGCCCTCTGCTTGCGACAACAATACAAACACCGACTCCCATTTGGACTTTTCGGATTGGAGACGCTGTTCGATGGTGGCGGATTGGCAAACAAGTCTACTGGGAATGCTGCCACATGTCACCATGTGTGGGTTGGGAATGTACTGCGGGGGACAAAAAAATAAAGTCAAGACACTTCCACTCACACACATATATAATAAAAAACAAAATATTTCCAGTAAGAACTATGCTTTTATTAAGTATTGAGTTAGTTTCAGGAAGGAGAGAAAAAAAAAAAAAACATCGTCATTACGCAATGATTGTTCCGGATTTCTTGGCACTCGGAAGTTCATCGTTCCAGGTCGCGCAGTTGCCCTCCCATGTCCAATAAGCGGCTACATCGCAATATCAGCAGTGTATTACCCGACGGGGATTAGCACCGCCGTGTGTGTCGAAGGGTCAACGCGCTGTGAAGCCCTGCGGGCGAGCTGATTGATGAAAGCAGCCGTAACGAGGTTTTCGCGGGGAGGGGGGGGGGGGCAGATGAAAAAGTCATAGAAATCCTTGCTGACCTGTCGACGTTTTGGACATAAGCTGCGGCTTTGTTCTCGCCGGCCCAATCAAAACATCACACGTGCAAAAGTCTGATAAATGGCACGTTGCCACGGCAAAGTTCAAGTTCCGTTTCGCGCGCACAAATCGCATGAATGTCACTTTCAACACGGGTCAACATGACATGAATGGAAAAGAGAGAATATTTTCTTCTTTTCTCCAACTCTGGCCACTTTTTGCCCGGTTTGGCAAGGCGTCGAATGAAAATCGCGCCGAACCGGGCTCGAGCAACAGCTCAGAGTAAACCATTCCACCGCGGTACTTTGCCTCGGGTGCAAACGCACGCACGGGCATCAAAGCAAACGGCGCCACATGTTCTTAGCATGGCCAAAAAGTGCACGCGTGTCCTCCGTCTGTACGTGGCGGCACCTTTGTGTCGGTGTCATTTTATGAGCTGCTTGCAGGGGAGTTCTCCAGCCAGAAGCCCCTTTCCCTCTCCTCCTGCCTCATGATCAAAGCCGCTGCAGCGCCACCACGTCTTTGATCCTGGGGGGGAGGGGTGGGGGGTGTCTGTAGGAGGTTTTGATTTCTTCATCTATTCTGCTTCCCATAAAAGCCGGCCAGGCCACTTTTGGGTCCAGGGGGAAGGAAAGCACAACGGTGGACTATAGGAGGTCCCGGACCTGACGCTGCAGTAAAATAAAATGATGTCATTGATGTATAAACTGTATAACTATAACACCGCGCCTCATCGTCAGTGACTAACTGTTCACAAACGGCTGAAAACAAGATGTCCTATTATCTGCGCCGACCTGTTCAAAGTCTCGTTTTTTTTTTTTTAATCTGAAAAACCTTTGCTTTTGAATAGCTCCTTCCTGCTTCTTTTCCAACCCTCCTCGGAGAAATTTGCATGGGAAATAAATTTCATCGGGATGAAAAGGAACGGGCAGGCCGAGTTAGATTACACACCTTAAAATATAATTAAAAGCCCTTGACATATTTTTCATACGCTCGCTGCCGTGCCGCCGCCGCAGCTTCGTTTCTCACTGCGCTTCAATTAAATGTTCAATACGCAAAAATGATTTGACCTGAAATGGAGCTCATGTGTGCTGCTGATGTCCAAAAGAGACTTTTTAATATTCCCTCCGTGAATACTCGTTGGCTCGTTTCTTTGATACAGCGGCGGCTTGACTTACAAGTGTCCCAGTGGTCATTTTTTTTTTTTCCCTTTGGGTTGTGAGACAAAATCTACCAAGCTACCAAAAAAAAAAGAAAAAAGATGGAGCAAATTAGGTACTGTAATCAACTTGGAGACATTTATTGAATGGGATAAAAAAAAAAAAAAGTCCAACAGAACACTTACATGGAGCGGATCAGACGAACTACTTATGTCACTGGTTTTGCCACGCCTCTTAAAGGCACGCACGCAAAACACGAACCCTCAGGCCCGCACGGTAATTAGCCTACATCTTTACACTGCACATTTTTTACATCTTGTCGGTATGATTTAGTTTTTTTTTTTTGTTTTTTAAACGACAGTGACTTTTTTGTTCTTGATTAAAAACTTCACATTGCAAAAAAAAAAAAAAAAAAAATTGGTTTTTGAAGGGACTGCAATGCTTCGAATCAGAAAATTGGTTTGGACTTAAGTGAACCAAATCACATCACTTTCGGGACAAAGACTGATTTGATATAAACGAGTAAATTCAGTCACGCGTGCTTTCATGTCAAGGACTCAAATGTCAAGGGTAACCGTCGTGTTTTTGTTTGGTCGACTCGGGAAAAACAAATGGACCGACCGTCTTGTCTGTCCTTTAACCAGAGCAAAAAGAACAGCGTGTATCATTTGCTGACTTTATTTCTGCGCACGCATGTACTGCATGTCCGCAGCATGTGTTTAACCTCAGTGTTCCTCCTCCATCCATCATGTGAACATCTGACAGAACATGGTACCGCCCGTCTTCATGAAGACACATTGCGGACCGCGCATCTGCCTCTAAGCGCCGCCTCTCTTTCCCCGGGGCAAACATCAAGAGGTCGCGGAGGTCACGATGCAGGATGGCAAAGCGCCGTGTCGCCGAGTGAAGCTCTCGGAGCGCGTGATTATATGACGGTCGTCATGCATTTATCGAACGGTGGCTGGTAAACGTGTGACCTCTCACATACAAGTGCATTGCGAGCATGTGAGTCCCCCCCACCCTTCCGTTGGCACGTGTCTTCAGTCGCCCTGCAAACTGCGCGCAAGTGATGCCGGCTAACGCGATGAGAAGGCTCGTCCGCAGCGTCATCGCTCCATTCATTCCGTTAAGATCAGGGGGGCGATTCGTTAAGGGATTATTTGGACGAACGACGAGGCACCGTCATGGCAAATTTGTTGCCGAAGGATGACCTGCCATTCAAGTATTTGTATTTTTGGCCAACGGCGCCTCACGCCCCCCCGCCCCCTCCCCCCACTCCCTATGGTTCAACATGCAACATTGATGATCCCCTGAAAAGCAACAGCTGTGACCTACCTTCTATGGCTTGATGTCTCTATGTATAGAACGCAGACATTCGCAACAGGCATCCCTGTCCCGATATAAACCTATAAACCCCCTTTCACACCTACTACAGTATCACGAGCCCTTGTGTTTGAGGTGCGACCAGCCGTGGCGCAACACTGGATGGCTTCAACTATGCGCTGCCGCGGCATGCGTGTGCTATCTATTCCCCCTCGGGGGAACGGAACGCACACGCGGAAGCACAAAATGTACTAGAAGATGATGGAGGGCGTGGAATGGGGAGAAAGGTGAGCAAAGAAGAAAAAAAAAATGGAGTAAGTCTCATTTACAAACAGAACGCAAAGCACAATAATAATAATAATAGTGGTGTCGTGGTTCTTTCACAAAGGCCCAGCATAGCTGCCCACAAAGATGCCCGGCCAAATTTTCCAACAAGTAGTCTAAGGAAATGATCGGGGCCTTTTGGCACACAATGGCTTTTTCCACGAGATCTATTGATGGCGTTTCCACGACAAATTGTGTTGAATGTCAATAGGACGCCGTCTACGATGGTGTGATGTGGCAACAAACAAGCAGAGGCTACGCCAGGCTTGCGTCAAGTGATGCAGATACGCATCACAGACGAGACCTGCTGCCACAGTCGACAATGTTGACATGACAAATGGAAATATCCCACAGTTTAGCACACACACACACACACACACACACACAAATTATTATTTGTATGCCTTTTCTTTATTTGTCTACGTTATTTATTTTTTTACACAGGCAGAAAGTCAACTGACAACCACACAACAAGAGTTGACCTTGACGTAAGACTGAGATGTTTTATCCAAGGTCAAAGATGAATAATTTCCTCCCGGATGACTTTCACTTCTGTTTTTTGGTGTGTAATCCTTATTATTCTTATTGTTATACGGCGCGACGGTAGTTCTTGCTGTGCGTCACGTGAACTATCGTCCTCTTTTCTTGATAGCGGAGCTCGAACTGCGGCTCAGCGGTTGTTGTGTGTGCTGGGCGTGCTCAAGTTGGCCCTCCCAGGATAAATAAAGTAAAACAAAGCCGCAGGGTGGCAGCGGGGGCGGCGGAGGGAGAAGTTGGTCCAAGGAGTGTCCCGATTCCTGGGGATATCCCTATCGAGTGTCAGCCTTAGCTGGATAAACATACAGTAGCTGAGCCGTGACTCACTTTTACCAATAATGACACACTACAACCTGTTTGACGAACGCGCACGGCATATGTATCAGCGCAGATGCGCCCAATGAGTCACAAGCGGAATAAAATGAGCAACGTGTCAACTTTATGACAAGATATTTGACGATGGCTTCAATCTCCAGTATGCGGGCGCGATTCAGACCCCTCAGCGTTGCTTCTATGCTAGCCGCGATAGCGCGTCAGGCACACTCAAACAAATGTGATTCTTTACAGTGCAAACATGATGGTGACGAGGATCTTGTCCATATCGAGTGAGCGAGGCGGAGCATGAAATTGTGTGAAAGGAAACTGGATGGCGGCCAAACTTTTTTTTTTTTTTCTTTTCAGGTCGAGTTGAATTAGCACAACGAACAGGCAAAAGCAGGAGTTTTGGAGCCCAACTTTGCGCCTCCTCAGCATTTTCCTTGCGCTTTATTGTTCCAAAAAGGACATTTGTGTCCATGGAAGTGAGAGGGAAAAAAAAAAGTGGTTTTGTAAGCTGGCGGCAGGGGTGAGATGCAAGCCGCCCCCCCCCTTCCCCCCGCCCTCTACAGTATTCGCTGTTCACACAAAACTCATTAGCACCTACAAACTTCACATGTGTGTAAGCTTGCCTCTCATCTGGTGCCAAATTTAGTCCAGGCACGCGCTTTTTATAAGCCAAGTGTGATTTCAAGCGCGCCCGCACCTTTATGTTGACACTATACATGCAACATGTTTCCTCTCGCGTACGCTACCATGTCAAAAGCGCCTTCCCGTCTTACACGAGTACGAACGAGGCCGACCTGCTATCGTTGGAGCAACTCTTTGCTGAACTCAGTGGAGCGATTTTTCACCCTGCAATTGTCCCCGGGCTGCCCAAATGAATTGACACGCTAAACTACAGGGCTTTGAAATGTCACGACTATATTTAACCGGTGTGAGACGCACAAAGTCTCCGTCTGTCCTCCTGCAGAACGGGCTCTGGAATGGTACCAATGTGGACCATAATAAGGCCCAACACAGAAAGACTGACCGATTTGCAGGCATGTCAACAAGTCAGAGGCTTGCGATTACGTTACGTAAAAGACCCCCCTGTGCCGAACGCGGCTTGAGTTTACGACTCGAATAATGCTATCTTTGGATGACATCAAAGGGGGAATTGAGACGCGCTCGGATGAATCGAATCAAATCCAAATGGACTAGAACTGAAGGGGCAAATACGGTTGAATGAAAAAGACTATTTCGCCAAGGGATTGTGCAAAACTGCCAAAAAAGAAAAATGAGCCATGCTGCGTAGCTTTTTTTCTTTGGACGCTTCGTCCTCCTCTCGTGCCGATGACCCATTTAACTGCGGGATTCTGCGCAGGTAAAGGCGCACTGATATCATTATGCCCCCACGAAAGCCCCCCTTCGTTGTATCCAGGGCGGACAAATCTAGGCCAAGAAGTCGTATTATATCGCGCAGGGAGGGCAGGGCGGGGGGGCGTACATGCTTTTTAAACACGCTCTAGCCAAGTACTACCGTGCAAAAACAAGTTAAGTAAGAAGTTCATCTGGCATGCTTGAGTCGTTTTTTGTTTTTCTTTTTTATACTTGAGCACAAATTCTGAGATATAGATACAATTTGCCGAAGGTAATGCTTGCTGTGTAGCCCACCGCGGTTGTTTAGTGCCAATGAAAACATTTATGGGGCAATTCAATTTATTGAGCATGGACGGTAGAGAGAGAGAGGCAGCCATCTGTCATGTTGAATTTCCTGGGCAATTATGTCCCTGCCTGTAATGTTATTTACCCGGCGGATCTTTATGAAGAGCTAATACAGCAGTGGGACAAGCGCTCATGTCTGAGCTAATAATGCGTCAAAACAGCTCTCCGCTTATTTGTGACTGGCAGGCACGACGCTGGCTCATGTCCGCGGCTAGCTAGCTAGCTGACGTTGATGCCGTTAGCTGTTAGCTCTGTATGACCGCGACCAAGATCAACAGTCGAAAGTGACCAGGCGCCGGCGGCGACCACTCCCCCTTCCCCCTTTATTTTCCCAGTCTCGCTTTGGGTCTGTGACTCCACGTCTGGTCAAGTCTCACTTGTGTGTGTGTCCGTGTGTGCACAACAGGAGGATGAAGCGAGACGGCCAAATTATGACGTGGGGGAGGCGGAGCGGGACCGTCGAAATGCTGTTTGGACAAAAACAGTTGGCAGACTGGAAGGCTTGAGTAAGTCAAGCTTTGTTGGCGACAGAGTGGGTGAACGCATTGAAGGTCTTAAATGGTCGACTTGAACAGAAGCGATCCTACAAATGCGTCGTTGGAGCCGGAAGGTCCCCCAAACTGCCTTCATGGAGATGCTGCTGCTCGACCTGATCCCTTTGCAGCATAAGCCTCTTGGCTCAAGTCTTCCCGTAGTCTCCCCTTTCCCCTGTCTTTGATTTTAATCTTAATCTCATTTCACTTGTCGCCAGACTCCGCCTCTCCCTGCGCGCGCGCCGCGGCCCAACCCCCACATTACTGTCAATCGTTTACATTTTCACGTTGTTTCAAAAATTCCCGTATTAGCCTTGAGTGACAAGTCTTCGCAAGTCTGGCAGCGGCACTTTGGCTGCAGTTATTCCCAAATTAAATTTACAACTATCAAGCGTGACATCACTGGGCGAGCATTCAGGTGTGACCTTGTTGTTGTCGTGCAAAGGACAGCCATACGTTTGTGGCTCTCGCGCTTTGGGGCCAGTCAACAAAAACTCTCTCCAGTAATAATAAAGCAATACAAGGGAATTAGAACACACACTCTCTTGTTGACACTGCTCATAGCCATGATGACACGCACTTTTGGAACTCATGAGCACACCAAACATTAAAATAGCGGCCCGCTGGTCAGTCTAGACATTTTCTATTTTGCTGGACTCCTCACACCTCTCCTTCTGTGTGAGGTTACCCCTCTTGCATAAGTGCCTCCCACACGTGCATCACTGGAACTGTTGGACCTTTGAATTCTTTCTTTCTTTCCTTTTTTTTTTTGTGTGTGACCCCCCCCCCCCAGCAGCAGTGGAACTTGTATAGGGGGCGTTTTGTTTAGGCTGATGCATCATGGAAAGCATGGCTCACCTCTGTCTGCCTTATAAGGTAGCGGCAGTGTCTCATGGGAAAGAAATGAGATGTTGTTGCAGTCTCTGGCCATATAGCCACTAAGTATGCGGCGGTCTGCGTGAGTGTGTTTGAGTACATGGGGAGTATGCAGGGAAGCCGGCTTGTCTATTTAGGGGAAAGAAATGATCCCGTGGTCCATTGGGGGCGGGGGGGGACTAAGATATAGTGACGGTATTCCTGAAACACTGAGAGCCTTTGATAAAACAGCTCAGGGAGGATACCTTTGATATCACTCCAACTCCCGTGTTTGACTAACCCCCCCCGCATCACATTCCCCTCTTCTCTTGGGGGTCCGCTGTCGGATTAACCCGCCGCCAAGGAGCCCTGCTATCTCACGTGAGAGGAGCGCGGGGTGAGGTGGGGTGGAGGGGGGTGGGGTGAGGAAATGAAGGAGAAGTTGTGATCCAATTTTGAGAGACCCGCTCCCCCTGCAATTTTTTCGGGTGTTTTGCTTAAACGAGTTCCCAGGCCGGTACGCGCAGTTTGTAAAATCTCTGCATGTGAGTGTGTGGTCTGCACTAGTTTGGTTGTGTGCGTTATGCCCACCCAACCCCCCCTGAGAGGGCTGTGCCTCTGATGAATGGAAATCTCCGACACGGGGGCCCCTCGTGACTATTTCCTAGAATTCAAGAGAGCAAATTCGAAAGCTGTAGAGGATGTTACTCTGCGGGCAAACTGTCGTAAATAAAATCAGGACACGCCCCCCCCCCTCCCCGACCGGTAAACGGGGTCGTCTCCAGGTTGACCTGACACTGACCCAAGCTTGTTATAAGTCCTAAAAGTTATGAGTGCAGGAAATATAAGAAGATCAAATAGGATTGCGGCGCTCTAAG